ACAGATCCTGCCTCAACGTGTAGTGTGTTGTGTGTGCGCGTGTGCACATGGTGTTCACAATATGACAGCTCGGCATGGCACATGTTGAAATGTCCTTTGCATGTCGAACACTTTACCCATCACTTCTCAGAGTCTTGAAAATCAACCAAACCAAGCCACCATGCCTTGAGGTGTGGTCTTCTCCCTGCTTCTGTGAGGATGGCTGTCACAAAAACGCAGGGCCAGCTCTTCTCTGCCCCAGGAAATGCTGAGTCACAGCACAGCAACCAGATAGCAGTGGGTGCTGGGAGAGCTCCTGCTCATATTGGTAGCCTAGAGCTCTCTGGCAAAGTGCATGGTGCAGAGGAGACGGCAAGAAATGTCCTCACCTGGACGGCAGAGATGCTCCACGCCAATGAAGCCCACAAGGCTTGAAGAGATGTGGGTTCTCACACTTTTGCTCCAGCAAAGAAAGGGAGGCAGGAAAGGAGGGAGGGAAGAGGTGGGAGGAAAGAAAGACCTCCTTTGGGGCATAGGAGAGTCCAGAAGGATCACTTAAGCCTGGGGCCCAGGCAAGGGGGAAACTGGAGACATGGCTCCAGCAGCTCCGGGCAGGCGGAGACCTCAGGAGGCCATGGGGACATCGATGCGGCGGTAGTGGATGCTGGCTGAGCTCTGTCCACAGCCAAAGCGTAGGGTGAACCTGCCCAGTGGAAAGTGAGCCAAGTCAGAGGGTGGCAGGGCCAGGGGAGATAGGAGTGGACCCCACCCCATCCCCAGGACCTCCACCCCCATCTGCCTAAAATGCTGTGTCCCAGGAAACCTCTCGAGAGGTGAACTTGTTCTCCTCATTCAAGTCTCAGCTTAAGTGGTACCACCTCAGAGAGACCTCTGGCTATTCTTTGATTCATTCAAAAAAGACATAGTATCGATTAGCCGTGGTGTGTCGGGCTGGCCCTAGGCCCTAGGAATGCATGGTGTACAGAACAGATTCATAAGAACTTCCTGTGCGCATGGAGAATTCAGGACACATTCGCTCAGGAATGAGCCCATAGTGCACCTGGGCCTAGAGCACACTTGTACCCATAATGCACTTGTGTCTATAGCTTGTATCCACAGTGCACTTGTTTCTATAGCCTATACCCACAGTGCACTTGTTCCTATAATACACTTGGGTTCATAGCTTTTACCCACAGTGCACTTGTTCCTATAATACACTTGGGCCCATAGCCTGTACCCACAGTGCACTTGTACCAATAGTAGATGCCACATTGTACTAGAACAGTGGTTCTCAACCTTCCTAATGCCTGACCCTTTAATACAGTCCCTCATGTTGTAGTGACCCCCAACCATAAATTTTTTTTCGTTTCTACTTCATAACTGTGATCTTGCTACTGTTATGAATTGTAATATAACTATCTGATATGCAGGATGTGTTAGGCGACCCCTGTGAAAGGGTCATTTGACTCCCAAAGGGGTTGAGACCCACAGGTTGAGAACTGCTGTGCTAGAGTAAATGCGCCCGCTCCCCACTGCAAAGGAAAGCCCTCTAATAACTCATAGGTTGGCACCTGCTTGATTTTCTTTACGACCATCCTAAAATTATGTTAACTGCTTTTTGGTCCTGTCCCCACTCTCCATGACTGTGTGATTTCTTTGCTGAAGAGTCGGGAGAGAGGGGGCTGCCCACCCGCCTCCGGGCGGGGGCACGTGCTGTTCTTTATGCACTCTCACGTGCCACTTCAAGTCTACCTTCAGAGAGGCCGTCCCTCTGGGCCACGATGCCCAGTCCCTCGGTCCTCCTCTCTGCCAACCTGGCCCGTCTGAGAAATTTTGTTCGGTTTAATTTCCTCCTGACCTCTGAGCATGTACCCAAATGCTCATTTTCATTCATTTGCTGGCTTGTTTATGGTCTGTTCTTCAGCCCTCTGCACCCACGGCACCAGACTAGAAAGCTCCACAAGCATGGGTGCCTCAATGAGGTCCCATCCTCTGCCCGTCCAAGGCTGAGATGCCCGCAATGGGCCACAGGTCCCTGTGCCCGAGTCTAAGAGCCCATTGAGCCTACGTGGTGTTTCTCTTAGACTCCAGCACGCTGTGACTGTCCGCTTCCACTAGTCTAACCTCCTAACAAGGGTGCCCCATGCTAGTGGCAGCCGGGTCAAGGCCCGCTCCTGGTGACCCCCAAGGACGGCAGCGCGGAATCGTGTTCCACAGCATTTCCGATGGTCAGGGGGGTGCGCACGGCTAACAGGCATGGCTGCCAATCAAAAGGCCAGAGCTCAAGTCCACCTGGAGGTGCCTCCGAAGAAAGGCCTGGAGATCGGCTTTGAGAAATCAGCTGCTGAAAATCCCACGGAGCACAGCCCCCCCTCCCTCGAACACATGGGGGGGGGGTCACTATGAGGCAGACTGGACCCCGCAGCAGCTAGTATGGCTGCACGGCGGCAGGGTTTCAGCATCCCTGAGAGCCAGGCCTGGCTGTTGGATGAAGGCAGACAAGGACGCCCAGCGAGGGGCTTGTGGCTGAAGGGGGGCAGGCTCACAGTGCTGGCGGGAGGAGAGGCAGGATGGCAAGAAAGCAAGCTCTCTCTAAAGAGGACACCGGGGCTGCAGTGTTCTCAGACTGTAGAGTGACTCCACCCCCCCACCCCCACCTCCCAGGCCACCTGTTCCTCACGTACCGTGTCTTCTGGAACTGCCGATCTATCTCTGCCAAGGACTGGCCCTTTGTTTCGGGGACGAAGAAATAGATGAAGCCCAGGCCGAGGACAGCTGTCAGTCCGTAGAGCAGGAAGGTGAAGGACAAGCCAATGGCACCTGGGAACAGGAGGGGCAGGTGGGGTGCGGGGCGCTGAGGTCCCTGGCCCCCCAGTCCGGGCCAAATGGGTGGCTCTAGGGGAAGCTTCACCATCTAATTACCTCGAGCAAATTCTCCACTCGATTTGCAATCTCACCACTTTCCCCGACGCTGTCAGAGAAGGAAGTTAAAGCAGGAATAAGACAGGCAGCTGCGGAGGCCAGGGCAGGGCCGGGACACCGGTCCACAGGCACAGAGCCATGGCCACGTGCACACATAAAACGTGCACCACTGACGGCAGCGTGCCCAGAGTCTGAACATGGGCTGCAAGGAGAACCAGCATTCGGCTCAGCAGCCAGCCCAGAGCCACAGGGGCCCCGCAGCCTCAGCAAAGCTGAGCTTCAGAAAGGGCTCAACACCCAGGAACTGGGCTTCCTCTGACTCAGCCAGGCAGAGCTGAGCTCCTGCCAAGCTGGCTGTGTCCCACTGCCCTGAGTAGGGGGACCGGTGCCATGGTCTGGTACCCTCCATCCCAGTTAACCTTCCTCTCTTCCTTTGGTCTCGGGCAAGGGGGCTGGGTGTCAGGGCTAGCCAGGCCGTGGAGAGAACTGGGCAGGGAGCCGGAAGACCAGAGTTCTAGTCTTCTGATGATCTGACTGGACTTGGGAAGGGCACATTGGCCTCTCTGTGAAATGAGGACTGTTGACCCTGACCGTGTTGTACGATTCAAACAGACCTCCCCTTCCCTGCGTTCTTCCCCTTACCCCCTCTCACTTGCGCATACAGGCCACACACAGAGACATTCTGACTGAGGCAGCAGGGAGAAGCTCAGGTCCCCATAAGGCAGGGCTGGGAGGCCAGGAGGGGGCCTGGAAGACAAGTATCTTCTACTAGGCTGCCCCTCTGCCCGCTGCCCCCATGTAGCTGTGCCTCTGAAGTGCAGCAGCTGGGGCCGGAGAGCCAGGCTGGGGACCCTGCGTGAAGGTATCCCACTCGCTTTGGGTCTGGCTCACTGACAGCCCTGGGCCAGGAGACCCCACCCACCCACGAACCCCAGCCCGCAGAGCCCCCTCCATTTGCTCAGCCCACCCACTAGCCATTCCGGCTGGGTATGAAAAGTGCATGATTAGCAGGAGATGAAGTTCCCACTCCAGCTTGATTTTCTCAGAACCCGTGCTGGTTGCCGGGGGTGTTTGTGCCAGGCTAGCCCCAGGGGGGTGGGGAGTGTTAGAGCAAATCAAGTGGGGT